AAAAAAAAAAAAAAAAAAAAAAAAAAAGATTCTACCAAGAATGGCTACAGACTGCTGATAGCAGTTCTCCACAGTGCCCCTCACTTCCATTTCCTGCATCCTAAATCAGGCTGTTCACCGCTTCTCACAGTGCCGTCCCCTGGGAAGAACAGGTCTTGCTTATCAGCACGCACCTCTGCCGTCTCTGTCCTCCGCAGTGAGCTGCCCAGTAGACCAGCAGGCTGCAGCCTCGTTGGGCTGAGGGGAGCAATGCGTTTCACCCTTCTTCGCTCCCTTTCTTCTCACTTCCCTGCAGGCTCCTTGGTATCTCTGGGCTGCTTCTTGCCTCTTGTTTCCAGAACTCTGTTACAGTTATCAACACATGAATGCACAGGTGTGATACAGATTATCAGTATAACTTTTGACCTTTCTCATCATGGAAGCCTTGTGATTTACGTGTTTCTCACTGTCAACTTTAAGCCTGTACAAGTCTCCTACTTGTGTTTTATCCTCTAACCCTTTCTTACCAGAAGATCCAGCAAAATTTAGTTTGTAAAGATGTTTGCCTAGAGGGAAGTCCCGGAGGGGGCTTTTTCCATGGGGCGCTTTCTTAGGGGATTGTATTAACTCCTTCCAGCCAAAAGGCGCCCGAAGGAATAGTGCTCTCAGGGGTTCTTTTGCATAGGAAGTCCAAGGAAGCTAGCTGTTTCAAACAGTTCCCTAAGTGACCTCACTCCAGTGATTAGGGCCCTTGTGCTTTGTTTTGAAAGCAGTTATCTTCCCAAAGAGCTTACTATTAATACAGACATTTCAGTTGAAGCCCCATATCTGCTGGGAGATCTTGGTTTCTGCAAAGAAATCAAGAGCTCATTTTTAAACTGAAGTTTAACACCTACACATTAAAAGGAGAACAATACATAAGTAATTAAAAACTTGGAATGAAATATTTCTTCCAGGCTCTCATGAGCTTAGTGCCTCAGCGATTAGAGGAGACACTTCTGATTCTGACTCTAAGTGTGTATTAAAGCACCCTAGAAAAGCCATAGCTCAGTATTATCCATTTTCTTTAATAATTTCTATGAAAAAAGATGGTACATGTAGAACCCAGAGACTGTGTCTGTTTTCAATTTTGTTTCTCCTATAAAAAGTCAATGCTTCCTGTGAACGTTATCAGACAAAGCAAATAAAGTACTACAGACAATTATTTTATTAACTTTGGAAAAACCACAACCCCAAATTGAACATTTCTGCAGGTTTGGCAAAACTCAGTGGATTTTGGTCCATATCTTTAATGTGTTTTCTGAATGTAACATGTTTTTTGAGACCAATTTAAAGTCAGCATGTTTTTCAGTTAAGTGGGGTTTTTTTGTTTTGTTTTGTTTTTACTTTTACTAAACTATGACACGAGAAGAAGAGTTGATGAGCGATGGATCTGAAAAATGGAGTCTTTCCTGTGATTTGATTGTTGTAAATAGCAGTTTTCAGGGAAGTACACGGTGGCATAGTGTCACTGGTGAAAAGGAAGAAATTCTATTGTTATTCCTATTGTTCATTGTTTCTGCCTTTTAAATCACTAGTGCGGTTTTATAACAGATCTTCTACTTGTTTCGTGGGTGTTACAGGACATTTGGGGTGTAACAGAGCCCGAGGTAGCTGTGTGTGCTGTGCTGTCTGAGCAGTGTTCTGAGATGCGGGTTGGCCGTCTCCAGCCTGATGTGAGGCCCAGCGTGAGCCGGGGCCATGTGACTGTCCTGCTTGGCTCATCTTATGACATCCGCATGTTCCTCCCAGCCTGCACCATGTTTACCTGGCTCTCCACCTCTCACATTGAAGTGTGCAGGTCCCTAAGTCCACTTCAGCCACCCCAGTGCTCAATCCAAATCTCCAAAGGAAAACGAGGTGACCTACTCTGTAAAGAGCTCAGCAGCTGTTTCTGATACATACTCTTTGTTGAGGACTATGAAGTGTAGGACCTTAAAATGCCCTCCTCTGTATATCCTAAAACTTGTGTGGAGAAAAGGGGATTAAAAGAAACTGGGCCAAAGAGAGTTGAAGAGACAGATACTGCAGCTTTAAGAAGCAGAGATAAGGGCTGAGGTGTATCCAGCGATAGGGCTTTGCCTAGCATGTGCCAGACTCTCAGTCTGATCCCCAGCTATGAAAAAATAAAACAGAAGATAGTCCCTGCTTCTATTTTTCTGTTGTTTAGTTCTTTTTACAATCAACCTGGTCTAACTTTTTCTTTAGTAATTAACTTTTTGGATTATAATCAATATGTTTTGCATAAACTAAACTTGCCACAACAATACATTGGTTTCTAGTACCTAAAAGCCTTTTGAATAATTATCTCAGTTAGCCTTTATTAATTCTCAGCAAAGACAAGGGCCTGGAATAGTCTTTCCCTTTTCTCCTATACAATGGGAAGGACCCAACTCACCCTGTGTAGCTCAGCCTCATGGAAGAAGAGGCAGCTAACAGAGTTCCTGAGAATTCTGAAATACATATGTGGCACTGGGTTCAGTCTCCAGCATCAATAGCCTACTAAGGGGGGGGGCTGCAGAAGTGTGCACTCGTGTGTTAACGCATTTCATGTGACCTTAAGCATAAATACATATATGTGTTTACCCATCTTTAATGTACAACCCTAGCCTGCGATTCTGGGTCAGTGGTCCCTCAGTAACACTTTGCCGGTACACCCAGTCTCTACCTTCACATCAAAAAGAGAACAGCACCCATGGTGATGGACAAAGCACGAGTTAAAAGCCCTCCGAAATTCGATTCTTTTCCCCATCTTTTAGAGTGACTGCAACTCTATTTTTTTATTTGCTTTTACTGAGCAAACCTAGATATTTAAGTTAGGCTTTACAGAAAACAAAATAGGAAGGCTTCCCCTGGAGTATTTAACTCACTTGCCCAGCGTGTCATCAATGCTGTTGCTGGAAGGGCGGCCAGGGAGCAGGGCTGGTGACAGAACCAGTGGCCTCCTGTTGAGCAGCTCACAGCAAAGCAGACTCCGCGCAGTGTCTGCAGAGCAGCTGCCCTGAGGTCGCTTCTCCAATGTCAGTGCGAGCCCTGTAAGGTTTGATGTCTGTGCTTCCCTCCTTCCCCTGCCTCTGCCCTCCCTCCTCCCTCTCCTTCCTTCCCTCGTTCTCTTTGCTTTTCCTTGAGTGCCAGGTGTGCACCAACTCCTCCTCAGCGTGGGAGGCTCTACAAACACAGTGCAGCTTGGCTTCCGGGTCCAGGAGGGAAACGCGCAGACCACAGTTCTCCTGACCCTTGCACGTGACCGAGGAGAGCTTTCTGAGGCAGCTGCCACTGTCCAAAGTGTAGAATGTTCAGCGTTCTTTATTTTCCTATTGCTAATATTTCCAACAGGAAGAGCTGGCCCGTGTTTGCGGATCTTGTTTCTTCCTTCTATCACAGAAGTGACCTAGAATACTTAGCAACCACGTCCAGGGTTTCTCCAAAGAGAACAGCGGAGCTCTGAGGCCAAGACAGTCAGTTTGTTTCACTCCTAGCTCTTAGGACTGAGCCCTGCCTAAAGCAGGCAGTTTTAGTCATGGATTTACAGGCCTGGCTTATTCGCCAGAAAAACATTGAAGGTGCTAAGGCTTCTGAAGTCAAGGGTCTGCTGACCTATAAAGTTACAGGAGCACAGTTGGATTTCTGAGAAGTAATAACAACAAAAATTATTGAGTAGTTTGTCTGATACCCCCTTGATAACATTCATTGGGAAATGTTTAAGTTAAAGATATTAATTAAAATTTTAGAAATTTTTTCCAAAGCAATCTTTGATTTGAGGAGTGTTTTCTGTTGAACCCAGCAGCCAGTTTCATTGAACTGAGGAACATCTTATCCATGCAAGCCTAAGGGAAGCCTACGATAATCACAATCAGACGCTCAACGGAGGGAAACAGCAGGAGAGCAGGGGAGTAAGTGAATAATTGCAAACAAGGCTGCAAAATCGGAAAGACATGTCTACGCTGAGCCGTGGGTACACCACGCAGAGCCTGGTCAGGGCCGCAGTCTCTTCCAGTAACCTCTCCCCCTCCCCCAGGGCTTCGGAAACCCATCGGGCGAGTACTGGCTGGGGAACGAGTTCATCTTCGCCATCACCAGCCAGAGGCAGTGCACGCTGCGGATCGAGCTGCTGGACTGGGAAGGCAACCGCGCCTACTCGCAGTACGACAGGTTCCACATTGGGAACGAGAAGCAGAACTACAGGTAGGCTGTGCTGGGCGGGGCCTCGCCTAGCGCCCAGCTTGCAGAAATGAAGTGAAGGCGGCTTCAGAGTTCTGCCTCAGGGTGGTGCCAGCTCCATCGAGCCCGCGCCTACGGGTGCTGGGGGGAATGAGAGAGAGAGAAAAGGTGAAAATCATCCTTTGCCACGAAGGTCAGCTTGCCTAAGCAGTGACAGAGACAAAGCCCGGGAAGGCGTCTGCAAAGCCTTCCTTTCTGTCTCTCACCAGTGGCTTCTGGAGCCGGCCCAGCCCCCAGAGGGAAGCGAGGTGCGGCAGAGCTGGGTCCCAGAGCAGAAGCCAGCGGTCTGGGGCTCGGATCTCTGACCTCTACCCGGAGATGCCCGGTTCTTTCTTTCCTTTACTGCTTTCTCACACTTGCTTGGAGATAACAAGACATGCCATGAAATGTTTGAATAATTGATTGGATGAAAGAGTAAAGAGACATAATTAAGAAGGTTTCTTTTTTAGGTAAAATAAAGAGCGAAAATAAGTTCAAATAATGGTATCAGTATACACAACATATCATTGAAATATAAAAATAAGCCAACACCTAATTTTAAATGTTTCTGATTTTCTAGATGAGTGATTTGTACATTAGAAAAAAATTTTAAATGACTCAGGAGAAAAATGTGATGTGATATTTGATTCCATGAACACTTGATGTGTCACTTCTGTGTTCCTGGAACTCGCTGAGGCACAGGCATTTGGGGAGCCAGGGATGAGGCCCCCAGTGCTGTAGACCTGAGGCCAAGCTTTGCTACTGAGGAGGTCATGAAAACCAGCTTGGCGTTCTGGAGAATGTGAAGTGTAGCTCGTATGGCACTAATCTTTCATGCGGTACTTGGCGCTTAGCAAGTCCTTATAATTACTAAACTGGAAGCGCAGTGATTCTCAGCTCTCAATATTGTGACTACATCTCTCCTAGAAACATGATTCTGTGGGATGACACATAGCTTCCAGCAAACTGCAGTGACAAAAACCAAAGCTTTTGTACAGCCAATGTAGCTATTTTCTCATAGTTCAACTGTGTCTACTTCTTGTCTTTTCAAGATATTACATCTTTGTGATTTTAAATCTGCATCCTTTTCATGTGGCAGCTCATTTTATTTTAATAGATTATGTGTAGGATCAGATCCTTGGAGACATAATCATTTTCTCAACAAATAGTGATGATGTCACCACAAAAGAAGATGTGAAATAGATCTAAAGACCTGATAGTCTCTGGAGGCGCAGCAAGAGTGGACTTAATGGCAACTCGAGAAACCAAAGAAGAGACATTCATAAAAAGTAATGAAGTGTACAAAGATGTGTTTCCAAGGAGGTCAATATTTTGAGGGTTTTATAACAAGAAAAACCACTGTCAAACATCAGGGGTGCTCTTATGTAAATGTTTTGACCTGAAACTTGAGACAATAGGAAACTTGGCCCCTGTCTGACAGCTTGACAATAGGATCAGCAAGTAACTGGCCTTGCCTTTTTCTAGGCTCCTGATGAATTTGCTTCAGTTCCTTTCCAAAGTGCTTCTCAGCTCTGTGAGTGGCTATGGGGGGGTGGTGCGTGTCAGGTGCTGTGCACACATTCGTGTGATGTCCAGGCAGAGTTGAGGGGACAGAATCGGGCAGGTTGGGAAGACGGCTGGCTCTGCTGAAGGCCTCAGGGTGTGTGCGTGCAGCTCTGGCCTCTGGGGAGGGAGGAGCCGCCCCTCGGACCCTCAGAGCACCTCTGCTTCCTCCGCGTCTGTAATTCTGGTTCTCACCCCTGTGCTAGGCTCTATGGTCAGAAAGTAAGTCTTCCCAGTCTCAGAAGGCGCACACTGTGGGATCCCCATTGTCCTTTCTGGAGAAATTAGTGAACTATGAGAATCAGAGTTATGGAGGTAGAAGGAACTTAGTAATTGCATCTCAAACCTCTGGTTTTAGGAATGAGAAAGCCAAGGTCCAGGAATATGCAGTGATTTTTTCCCAAAGAGGGAGAAAGCCTTGTGACTCCTATTCATGTGGCGTGGTCTCTGTTGGGGTGCTGCTGTGGTGGGAAGTTAGGATTCCAGCCCTTGCTTCTGCCAGCACCCACAGGAGGTCCCTGAACAGTGACTCCTTCTCATGCAGTCCGGTGGAGGCTTCACGTCGGCATGGGGTGGAAAATTAGACCACACTGAGCCACAGTTTAGAGTGCAGGCAGCATGGACCCATACTTCTTGCTCTTCCAAAGGGGACAGAGCAGGAGTTTGGAGGGAGGTCCCACCCCAGTCCCTGCCCTGACCTGTGTCCTCCTGCTTTGCCAGTGCCTGGTCTGCGTGAGGCCTCTGATGGAGGTGTTTTCCTCCAGCCTTTTCTCCTCCCTCCCACTAGCATCCTCCCATCTAGGATCCTTCCAGGACAAACTAGTCAAGCTAGAGTACAAAGACTTGTCTATGGTTTCTAACAGCTTAGCTATGCTCCTGCAACAAGGCCATTAAACAAGGTGGCCACTAAACGAGGGGCTGTCGCATGTGCAGGACAAAGGTCCGTCAGTGGTGACTTTGCTTGTATCTGCATAGCTTGCACATGCAACACTGCACTGCGTGAGAGAACACAGGACCGCAGCACTGAACTGACAGGGCCCACGTCCCATGGTGAATCCGAGCAGTCAGTAAACAGATGGGCCATCAGACACGGAGCATCTGTAGCAGTGTGTGTGTGATGACATTATTTTTACATGTCAAACAGTTAATACTCCTATTGTGTCTCTTGGTGGCATTATCACACACATTCAAAAATGATTCTCACCCATTTATTTGCTCAATTCAATGAAATTCCAACTTAAATTCAATACCAAGGAATTTGTATTGGGGTTTTTGTTTCAGGGTTTTTACATTTTTCATATATTTCCTCCTTTGAATTATATTCAGAAGTTTTTTTTAGAGTTTTATTGTTTAAAAAATTCAGTCTTAGAAACTGTTTTGAAAATCCTTTTCAATAGTCATAATATACACACTTAATTTTAAAGAGAAGAAAAGATAACCATTCTTATGCCCTAAAGCACGGGTTAAAAGTAAGTGTTGTGAGTTACCAGATGAGCTTACAAATGTGTGTGTGTGTGTGTGTGTGTGTGTGTGTGTGTGTGTGTGTGTGTGTGTGTGTGTGTGTGTGTAATACACACATTAACTTTTATCCTCTAAGGAGACTTAAAATGATTTTCTCAGATAGGAAAGAAAATTACAGAACCTAGGGGTCTGAGTGAGGAAAGATAACAGCGTCGGAGCGTCATGATAGACACGCCATGTGACACAGCACCAGTCGGTGCAGACCCTTAAGTACCTCTCTCGGGAGGCAGCGCGCCAGGTCCTCGCCCTCTGACGCCCTGAACACAGTGGGCTTCCCACCTCGCCTCTGGACAGTCTCGGACACGTCTTCTACAAGGCAGCCAGGAGGACTCCTCCTTCAGTCCTGCTTGGCCTCGCCCCTCCTTGAGACATGCAGACATGGCTCAGATGGCATCTGCCTCCACTCCCTCCACGACCTGGCCGCTGCCCTTTCCACCAGTGCTGTGAGCCCCCCACCACCACAGTCAGCCTGTTCGCTATGAGTCCGTCCCAGTAGCTGCACTCTGTTTTCCAAACCACTCTGGTCTTCCCTTCTGCCATGTCCTCACCCGTGCATTCAAAACCCACATGGATGTGTTCTGAGTCTCAGGAAACTTCCCTGACCCCTGTGATGGTAGAGGGTGTGGTAGGCCACCCAGGGCCTGGCAAGACTGAGCTCTGCCCACCCCTGAAGTTGTTGCTGGACAGACTGGAGCTGGTCCCTCTAGGTGCTGCTTGTGGCCGAGGAGAGTTAGGTCTCCCGAAGTCGTAGCCTCCTGCAGTCACCAGTCAGTACAGTGTGTGAAGTCCCCTGCCCCCATCAGAGCAGCGCTGAGGAGCTGTAAGTCTGGGTGTGCACTTGGCACGAGCTGAGCTCTGCCCCGCCGAGGCTGCCTGTGAGCTCTGCGTGCCCCTCCACTCAGTTCTGTTCCTTCCTTTCGCCCCTGAGCTTCCTCAGGTCCCTGACTCTGATCCCCCAGAGAAGCATATCACCCTCCTTCTAGGCCAAGTTGGGTTCTGTGCTCCCAGTGACCCATAAGGCTGTGAACAGCCATCCAGGGTCCACATTCTGTTGCATCACTGACAGGCGTGCGTCGATAACTATGTGGGAGCCCACACACACGCCTGAGAATATTTCTAAGGTGTGGGGGTCCCCATTTTTATCAAAATCCAAGATACCTGTCAGGAAAATTATTAAGTGAGAATTGATAGCTAATATTGGGTGAATGCATTCTATGGACCTCCTATCTTGTTTTTACATCAGAAAACAGGCTTACTAAATACTGTGGTCGGGGCAGAGGCACTAATGTGAGCACTGTTAGAATCTGAATTTGGGTCGCATCCTGTCTGCCATACATGTGGCCATTCCTCCGTAGAGGGAAACCCAATAGTTAACTTTGGAAGTTAAATGAGCTCATTCCGATATATAGCGCCTGTTTCTTCTCACCCCACTTCCCTCTTTAGTACTTTCCATGTCTGTAGACACACTGTCTCATTCTGCAGTTCTCATTTTTCTGTCTTTATGAATTAAAGTATTTATAAAGTTTCTTGCACCTCAAAATTATTTTCTGAAGTCAAATTACTTTTATATATGTATTTTTTATATTTCCATGGCCTTTGAATTCTATGATAAACAAGTTTATATATCTGTACTAAATAGGAGAGTTTACATCAGCTTAAGAAATATAGTTGAATTTTATTTGTCATAAAAGCTTTGCTGGTCCTAAAAACAAAGTTGAAAAGCAATAGCCATCACCACAAGCATACTGAAAAATAACAGGTTAATTGTAGGTTTGAAGAGATGCTGTGATCAACTGGAAAAGCCCTGGAAAAAGAATCAGAGTTGCAAATCTGTAAAGAAATCTTGCTTTATCATCTGGAAACAAAAATGGTTCTACCAGTCATGTTCATTCAGGAAAGCA